TAATGAAAATTGTTAAAGTATAAAAAATGATCGTTTTTGTTCTTTTTAGTCTGTGCATGCTTTTTCATTGGCAAATATTTTCAGTCTTTGAGAGATTTTTGTAAATTATAGAAATTTAACATTAAGTATACTTTGATATTAGATGAAATATGAATAACATAGATATAACTGAGACTTAATTGTTCACTCCATATCTGTCGCACTGTAGGCACTTCGTCCGCCTTATCCCCCATCTTCTTTGAAATCACAAAATTCTACCAAAATTAGTGGTTTCAAAACGATCAACTTTTAGACAATTTATACAACCCTTCCCCTCAATATTTAGTAAAGTCCTTTTTTAATTACAGTTTTTTCCCAATAAAAATGGAACTCATAAAATAACTTACCTTGTTATTGCATGGCCATTTGCAAAATTATTTAAAAAAAAAAAACAGTCTGATTGTTTCACAAGTGATAATTTAAAGAAAATGCTAGATCAAGAATTTTTGAATGACAATTTACACTGTATCTATCAGTTTTTGGAGATCAAGTCTTCCAGCAATCTGTCGGAATTCTAATGGGTACTAATTGTGTACCCATTTGTAATTGTAATTAGAAGGTCTATTTTTGTATTCTAAACTTCATAAACGAAATTTGTCTTCAGTGCTGTTAAATTATGATACCGTATTATATTTTTCTTTTTCTGAACATTGTCTGTCATTTTATTTGTCATTTTGACTGCAGTGTATACTAACATGGTGATATTAAATATGGGGCCCGGGAAAATGTTGAAATGATTAGTGAAATGAAATGTTTTAAAATATATCCCCTTCTAGATCAGTGCTTCTAAAAGATATCTATATCTGACCAATTTACATATTATTCTCTCTCTCTCTCTCTCTCCATTGTTTTTTCTTAGATGGATCTCAATTAATGTTGGAAATGAATGTTATTTTAAAATATATCAAGAATTTCACAATTACACAATTAAATTCTTCTTAAAATTTTTCTTCTTAACATGTGCGTATTTTTATTAAAAATATTATTTAAAAAAAGAAAAAAGAAATACCCCCGGTACTTGAAGAAAAGATCTCTGAAGTTGAAGGAAAGTGACTTTAATTTCATGACTTAACTACCATATATGCGTGTATATGCCAATTTTTTCAAATTGCAAAAAAGAAGTCAAATATTTTTAAAAAAATGTTTTGAAGCTACAATCTTTGAATGCCATGTTGTTATGTTTAATTCACGGCAAATGTAAAAGTATCTAGCATTCACATTTATCGTGATGAAATTAGCTAATAAAATTTTTTTTTAAAACAGTTATAAAATTTTGATATAGATTGTCCATAATACCAATACATTTAACTTTCAACTATTAAAAATCATATGTATTTGATTGTGAGGTTTTAATAATATACTTTTTATTTATCTATGGAGAATTCCTTTTTTGGCAACAGTAAATATCAAAATTACAGCTTTGTGTATGTTTTTTTTGCTAAATTTTATTAACTTCAACTGTCGCCAAATCGTTATTTTTTTTACATCACCTACTTTAATCTTAAGTCTGTTGATAATAACCACCCCAAGAATTGATTTCTATTTGAAAAACACAAAATCTTCAAAAGCACATTTATCTTTTCAACGCTTGGTCCGTGTGATTTTTAAATCCGTACAACTGAACACGGACATAACCGATATTCAACATCATTTCACTTCTATGCCCATATAGCATAATAGTAAAAATGCTATCTAAAGTCTATTTGAATGCCCAAGTAAATGAAATAATCCGACTCGACTGGAAAATTCAGTGCGAGCTGGTTCAACAAACCTAAAACTAAAATCACATCAGAAGTTAAAACAGGAGAAAATGTTGCCGAAATGTTCCGTATTTTTTATCCTTTTTGCATTAAAATTTAACCTATTAGAGGGTAAGATTTATTGTCATGCAAAGAATAGAAATCAATCAAATTAAGGATCAAAATTTATAATAATCAACAACTTGCCAGCTACTATACGTACTAAAGTAATAATCAAAAATAGTAGATAAGGGAAATTTTTACCATAATTGAAATAAAAACGTACAGTATTTTTTCTTTTTTTTTTCAGCATCTGCCTGTACCGGGACGACAACTTTAGGAGCGGATCCAGTCCATAACAATGAGACACTGGACAACAACACAAGTAAGTGTGTCCAGAAAAAATATATAGTACGACCCGCTTTTTATTCACTAAAGAAATCCTTACTTATGAGGGAATAATTTGAAATTCTACATTTATTTTCAATTAAAATCCTTGTTACTGTATCAGAAAACCATTGTCAGGGCCCGGGTTTTCCGATTAATTTTCCAATTTAAATAGAGATATGTGGAGAAGTAACCAATATTTTTCAAAGGTTTAATAGAATGCATCAAATTCTTTCGAAATGCTAATCCTTCTTCAGATATACTTCTATTTGTTCAATTTGGAAAACTTAGGTGTAATATTTTATATTTTGCTTGCAAATGACACTACTCCAATAATTTTAACCTGATCTGAATAAAACAAGGTTAAAAAAATAATCACCCTTGATTTTGTAATTTTGAGGCTGTGATTTCTTACTGTTGGAAAAATACACAATTCAATTCCGTTTAAATTTAAGTATTAAAAGTTGTGTTGATAGACATTACTCTCACTACACAGAATTTAAGGTTTCACTACCCTGTTCTTATATGCATACTTTGGAAAGTGTCACCTTTTAATGTTAAACATAATCCATGTCAAAATCAGCATTACTTTTATGTTCTTCTTTAGGTACTGGTTATTTAATGACAGATCCGTCCTTCACCGCGGGCTGTTGTGGGGTACTGGTCAATTGGAAGGTGTATATTCAGACTCAGGGAACAATTAACCTACAAATATGGCGTCCGGAGGGTTCAAAGTATAAATTAATTGAGGAACACAGTTACTCGTTTGACTCTCGTAAGTAAATCTCCCCCTCTCTCATCTGATATACGGATTTTTCTGTTTGCCTGACCATGACAAGGAGCATACGGTGGATGTGAGCGGTTGACAATGGACGCTTACTCCTCCATGGCACCTGATCCCACCTTTGATGTTTTATAGGTCCATGCTTGATCTGCTTTCAATTTGTATTGTTTCAAAATTACTTTTTTAGTGAAATAATAGTAATCATTGTTTCAAAAGTTTATAGTTGTTTGAATGTTCAAGATCAAGATTTTTTTTATCTCACAATCTTGTTTAATGAAATATGGAGACGGAAAACAGTAATTAAGCTCAAAATTTCATTGAAACAATACAAATTGAAAGCAGAGTAAACGTGGACCTTTAAAACATCAAAGATGGGATCAGAAGCCATGTTAGAGTAAGCATCCACTGTCGACCACTCACACACGCGTCGTACGCTCCTTGTCATGATCAGAAAAACCCGTATATATCAAACGAGAGATTGTATTGTTTCGATGTTTGTCGTCTCCATTTTCATTACACAAGATTGTGAGATAAAAAAATCTTGATCTTGAACAACTATAACTTTTTTTAAAAACCTCTGAAAGAAGGTTACCATAGTATTACAATGAAAGGCATCCAAGAGGAAGATAGTATATGTACAATATGCCGCATGTATTTTCTATATAAATGTAAAAAAAAAAATCACAAAGCACTTAATGCACATTAATAAAGGAAAATTTCCCAGTTGAATCTACATGAGATAGCATGTTTTTATGTGAATAAATCGTAAGAGCAAATAAGTTGATGAAACAAGGATACCAATAAGGCCTAGAAAAAAAATATGTTTGTTTCCGCTTTCCCGACCGACCCTAATTTATAGTGCCGACCCTAAAATTTTTTTTAATGCTATTGTCCCATGTAGTGCAAGATTTCACCCAGGGAATTATAGTCTCCAACTTTGCAAGCTTTTCAAGACAGAAAGAAGCTTGAGTCACCTTTCTATTATAAGTTTAAGTTACAGAAATGCTGGAAAACACCATTTCTTTTGTCATTAATGTTACTTCTATACACGTTTTGATTAAAGAAGTAAAAAAAAAAATTTTCAAAAAAAAGAAATTTGCCTACCTACCTACCCTATATTTTTTCAGCCTGAAAGCGGAAACAAACATATTTTTTTCCTAGGCCTAACCTCGTTAATAGTCAATATTTTGTAGATTCTGTGCTTGACTCAATGACATTGTTTGCAAATGCATTCTAAATGATGATTAACATATTTCATACCAACTGTTAGGTCATGATATTCACTTTGAATTGTCTGTTGATTTTCTGTTTACCCAACCACGAAAATGTGTGACAAGTCAAAGAATTTTCTGACATTTCCATGGCACCTGATCCCATGTATGTTTTTAGAGGAGAATTATAAGGAAAACAAGATGCTTATTTGTTGATTAAAATCATAAGTAATACCAAACAACTTTATAAAACGTTGGAAAACCAACTATTGAAACTTATTATCACAAGTGCTGTTAAACTCAAAACTCACATACAACTTCCATTTAAAAAAATGATAATAAAATTACCAAACAAAGAAGCTAAAATATTTTTCCTATTTTTATTTTATTACACAAGTCCCAAATTCACTTTGATAAAGAAGCAGATCTGTAAAAAATAGAATGCACTATTCAATTTATAAATTCATCTCAGTTTATTGACCCATCCAAGATACATACATATATGTACGCACGAGGCAATACACCACATGTTAAAATTATACACAAGGTTACATTTTATGACTTCACTAAGGTTTCAAAATATTCTTCCTCATTTCAGAGTGCTCTTTAAAAACATGAACATTTTTTCAAGTACACCTGTTACTTGTGGAGCTAACAATGTCGTTAAAAGGGTCACTTTTTATTTGAATTTAATATTAGTTATATATTAATAATTAATATTATATTTGAATATCCCTGTAGAGTATTGTATATGCAACATAAACAGTTCTTTCAATTTCATGAACATTTAACAAGTATAAAAGCTAACGGTAATCAAGCTCAAAAACCCATTAAAACAATATGGATCTGGACAAGCGCAAACACAGACCTAAAACATCAGCGACAGGATCAGGTGTCATTGAGGAGTGAGCATCCCTTGTCAATCGGTCACACCGTCGTGTGCTTCTTTTCATGGTCGGGCAAGCTTAAAAATCCGTACACATAATGACCTAACAATTATGTAAAAATCAGGGAAAACGTCAGTCAACATTCAACTAATTAAATGACAATTAGTATATTTGCTGACGAGGTCATTGTACGGACGATGGAACTCGCGAAATGATGACTTTAAACGAAACTTTTAATATTTTTTATCACCAATTTGTCAATAGGTTGCCTCGTTTTAGAAATAGTAAGAAAAGTTTTCTCTTGGCTTTCACTGTGCTTACATTCTGTAAACCAACATTTATTCACGAGCGAGAAACATCCGCAAGTTTCGCGACCTACTTTAATTGCTGGTAAATAAATATCGCTGCTTACCTTTTCTTTTGCTTAATATTATATTTCCCCAGTCGCGAAAATTAATCGTCGAGGAATGATTTCAAACTGACGAATTGGGAATAGAAGAGGACGTGAATAGTAATTGGTTTACAATAATGTTCTTAACATTTTCTGTCCTGAAAACTTTATATTTAATTTAAAAGCAATGTTTTTGACATAATATATAGAGAACTCCTTTCCCCCATGAAATTTAATCAGTTGTGATCATTTTAAAATGATGCAGTAAATGATTCTTTTACAGCAAGTCAGATGATCGTTCAAAGTCTTGACCTTCCCCAAGGACAGCAGGTTGTGATAAAACAAAATGACATCATCGGATGGTGAGCAAATAAAACTTGAGAACATTTTTCAGAAATTGATAAGATAGACTATAGAATATATATTTTCCAAAAGAAATACGTTAAAGCATTACTTTAATGTTATTGGAATACTGTGAACATTATTATCAATATCCGATAGCAGGACCGTAGCATCGATTTTGAAAGTGGGGGGGGGGCCAGCCACTGATTTTTTTTTTTACTTACCTGAAAAAGTTGACAAGCAAAAAAAAAAAAAAAAAAAAAAATTAAAAATTGCCCAAAGTTGAATCCTATATCCTGGGGGGGTGGGGGGGGGGGTGGGTAGAGGCAAACTTTTTTTCACTACGAATTCCTTTCGATATCCATTTTTTTAGCTTACAATACTATATTTCCATATTTCCTAAAGTATTATTTTACTTTAGTATAAAATGGGAGGCCAGCCACCCTTTCAATGAACATTTTCAATAGTAAAAGTATTGTTGGCGAAAAAAGTGGGGGGGGGGCAGGCCCCCCTGGCCCCCCGGTTGCTACGTCTCTGGATAGCCCATACTTAAAATTTTATTCTAGAATATGTCATATTTCATTTAACATATCATTCTCATCACAATGTAGGTACAGTTCATCAAGTGACATGGTTCCATATAAATCGGGAGCGGGATCCGCCGGTGGTAATTATTTACAGGTGTTTGCCACGCCTCCTTCCGTGGGAGCATCCTATGAATGGAGTACAGCCAATTTCTTCAGTCAACGTTCATACGCTGTTCAATCCACAATAGAAGCAAGTAAGATTTAAAACTCGTGTTATACCTTGAAAATGAGTTTCTCATTATCCAGTGTACATTTACCAAATTTTCTTTAGAGTACGTAAACGTTTTTTTCACATGTAATGTTTTTATCACCCACTTTCAAAAAACAATCAACACAAAGTGATCATAAAGAAGACTGACTTGTTTTAAAGCATAAACAAAGCAGCATTTTAAAAAACCTGACTTTTTGAAAATTATGCATATGTAGACTTGTGCAAGCTAGATCAATAGTGCCATGGACAGCCCCTTGACCTTTAACGAATTATCTTTTTAAGAAACAATTCAACATATTATTAACAATAAAACTTTTTTAGCACATATAGTAACCATTTACTTATTTGAAAAAAAATCATAGAGGTACTTTTTCAGACGTCGCACCAACATTTAAAAACCTTCCAGCAACCAAGACGTTCCAGGACAAAACTCCCGCGACAACAATAATGACAGTGACCGTAACAGACGATAATTCAGCAGATGTAGCGACCCTCTCAGTCAGCCTGAAAACGCACACGGATAAATTTGAGGTGTCTTCGAGTACGTAAGAATTTAGCTAATTCACAAAATCAAGTTCATAGACTGTAGTAACACTTATTGTATCCACACTTTTTCGAAGAAAATTCGGGTGCATTGTTGTTATTCCGGCCTGTATTTCTGTTTTCCACTCTTTTTTCTTCCATAAATCCTTTTATATTTAAAGTAGTAACCAATTCATCTTGTGAACTACATGTAAAATCAATTTTCTCCCGTAGATGTACCAAAAGGTAAAGAAGTTTCGTATCGAGGCCAATTAGTACATTCCTTTTATGCACGTCAATTTTTCGTCTGAAGAGCGGTTTTTAAGAACTGTGCTGTATCAAAATCATCTTTTGGAATATGAATGATATATATGTGTACTAATGTAATACGGTTTCTGAA